ACCCGCCTCGTGCCCGTCGAGGAGGAGTCGAGGGCGGGAGGGGGGAAGAGCCGGGGTGCCGGCGGCATCACCTTCCCCGTCCCCCCCCCGACGCCCGAGCAGGCCGAAGTCATGGAGGCGAATCCGGGTCGATACAAAGTCGTGCATGAGTCGAGGGGGAACTTTTACGTGTATCGCTTCAAACGCGACGGGACGACGTACTACCACGGCACCGTCCCCGATTTCGCCAACCCGAATAAAAAGCAGCTTCTATCGGTTGCCTCTATCGACGCGCTTCCGGTCAACTCAACGTCCGAGCCGTCGCCCCTCGCCCCCGCGAGCACCCCGGTGAACCTCGAGAAGAATCCCGGTAGAAAGATCAGTCATCCTCCGGGAATCACCACCGAGCAGACGGTGGCGTCATCTCACAAGATGAATGCCCCATCCTCGAACAACGGGCCGACGCGAAAATCAATCCTCAACGCGCTCTTTTTAGATCCCCACAGCGCCGAGGAGGATCCGATGGTGGACCCGGCGCTCGCCGCCTCGCCGAACGCCAGCACGCCGATCACGGGGAATGACGGCAAGGGCGGTTCCTTCACTCGCACCGCATCCCGGCAGGACTACCTCGCCAATCGCGTCACCTCGGCCGCCATCGAGGCGGCACGGATCCTGATGCGCAACCTCTACAACTACGCCTACAACCTATCCACCAGTACCGCACCATTGGCGAACGCGGAGGGCGGCGTCGGATCGCCCGTCTCGCCGTGCGGGTCGAAACTCCCCACCGGAGGTGGGAGCTTGGCGGCGGCGAATCATAGCAACTCAAAGGCGGGCCCGGAGTCGCCTGTGCACCCCATCCGCGTCATTTCCCGCAGCTATGGAAGCTTCTCCGAGCTCTCCGAAGCGAATAAAGCGGCCTCTCCCGAGGGTGTCGGTTCCTTCTCAAGTATACAGCTCACCCAAGCCCCGAAGCGGTATACAGAAAAGGGCTGCTACGTGTGGGATTGGCGTCGAGTCAAATCGGACACGGTCGAGGATGCGAAATAGGTAAATTCACCAGATTAATGGAAGAAAATCGTCGGAGGGGCGATTATTTAAAAAAAAAGGGGGGGAAAAGCACTCTCTGAGCGAAGGGGGGTAAGTAACTTTGCGGAAAGGATAAAGAAAGGAATCTTCCGTTAGTTATTATGCATTTCATGACAAATAGAATAGTCAGTATCTAGCGCAGTCATTCCTTTACAATTTGAACTCCTTCCGTTTTATTCATTTTCAACACGTTACTTTACCCAAGATGGATTCGTTGAAAATGGTTGTAGGAAACAAGTACATATTACGCACTGCATGTACTCTTATTTCTCGAATATAGTGATACGAGCCCGTGATGAAGCTAGTCGCCCTATGGTGATGTTGGTATTTACTACCCTGAGTTGAGGAGGAGACAGTGGAACGAGACTAAGTACTAACAAACATCGTTTAATGAGCTAAGTTATAGAGGTGACTACATGGAGGAGTTCAGTGATAGGTCTACTGGCCAGTGGACCGGGGATTAAGTTTTCTCTCGCAATTTTGCTTGAATAGTATCCATAATGTGGTAAGGTTGTATAGGCCTGCGCCGATCATGAACAATGCCGAGGTGAACTGCACCCCAGGCGATATCATGACGCGCACAATTTTAAATGATAAAACCGCTATAAATATCTTTAGGATTAAACTTATTTTTTCTTTTGTTGTATCATTTCTTTTTGTGTAACATATTGTCGACATATGACTCTACAGGCAGCGTGCCCGTATGCTCTGCTTGAATATGACATCGACAAATCTGACCGTCACAACTTTTCCACCCATCATTGACCGTTACATGGATAGATAGCTAAAGTATCAAACACACACCAAGAGGGTGCATCCTCCAAAAGTAGAATTGTCTATGGCATTACCAGAGTTGGGGGCGGTTGTCTTGGGCGACATCATTGAGCGCAATTTCGAGGATGGCGATAACCCCCCTAGCGCCGGAGCCCACGCGAACCCCATACAACCGGTGCAGGCTCAACAAAGGAGACCCTTTCCTCGCTACAACCCAAATGTGCAGTACGGGCTAGGGAGGCGAGCGGCTCTGTTAAATTCGAACCGCGCGTTTGGCTCTTCGCCTGCCGTTCGCGCACATGCGTACAGCGCGCATGTGCAGCCTGAAGACCCTTTTGATGGGGTTTCGGCCGCCCATATGTCCGAGCGCCCTTTCCAGGCGGCGGCGAGTAGCCCGTTCTCGGGGAATTCCAGAGGCGGCGAGGGGGGGGGGCGGCTTTGCTGCCCGTGGGAGGCAGTGCGGCCTCCATGGCGCTCCCCAACGTCGCCCACCACTGGCGACCAGAGGAATTTCGCATGCTCTATCGCGGCTACTATCGCGAACCCCTGCCGGCGCGGGTGATTGAGGGACTTTCGCTGCCGGAGCCGGCCGGATCCACGGACGCCGGCGTCGCGGCGCCGACGGGGGAGGCTTTTTTTAACGAGTTGTTTCGTTGCCTGCGGAGTACGGTGCGGCGGCATCAGTACCTCGCACTTCATGCGCTTCTTCTCCATCTATGGTGTGCGCCCGACGGGGAGAACCCCCGCGTGCTCGCGGGCTCTTCTCAACCTGATGTCTCTCTGAAGGAGCGATGCGTGCACGGCCCGGACTGTGGGGCTTTTGTGTTTTTCGTCCTTGAGGTGCTATCCACCGCCGCCCATCCTGCGGCCTGTCAAATGGCGGCAGCATGCCTGCTGATGCTGCTCCGACAAGAAAAGGATGAGTTTGTGGAGGTGTTGAGTGAGATCGGAGCCCCCCTGAGCGATCCTGTGGAGAACGGAGAAGAAGAGGCGGTCGGCCGGGATGCTTCAAAAAACGAAAAAAACAAGCAAGAAGGTGGCGGGAACCTGTCAGAGAGAGACGTGGATGGGCTTGAATTACCTTTTGCGGAGATATCCGAACAACTTCGTGACGACGACGATCGCAGGATTGGGCTTGAGAAGATGGGTTACACCAATCGCATCATGGCCGCCATGCCGATGCTTGTCATGGAGCCCGCTTCTTCTTCTTCGCCTTCCCGTCGCGTGACGGGGGATTCTGGTGGGGACGTGGAGGAGACCGGGTTTGGCCTGGAGCAGCTGTGGCTTCAGCTGCTGCTGTATGGGGATATCAGCTCGCCACGGGTGGCGCGGCGGGTGGCCGAGGACCCCGCCTTCGTCTCGTGGTCGAAACTGCAGCTGCAGCGGGTGGTACTCGGGGAGCGGCCGATGGCGAGCCTCACGCAGCATCTGTTGGTGTGGTATCGCCTGATGCGCGTACCGGCGGCCGCGCGGGGGCTCCTTCGGCCCTCCCCTTCCTCTAGCGGGTACGAGCCGTGGGGGCTGTATGTTCTCTTCGCGTGCACCCTAAAGCCGGAGGAGGGGTTGTCGATGGACGCGGTGCGGGCCCTGACGCTTACGTTTATGCTCGTGCGGGAGATGGTGCGGTATGGGCTTGCCGGGGAGGTGCTCCGCGACGTCGGCGAGGCGCTTCTGACGGATGGCCTGCGCGTAGGATCGGCGATGGTGCTGGAGATGTGGGATTTGGCCGCCGAGCAGCCGCCCACGGCTGTAGGTGGGGAGCAGGGGCATCCAAGGATGGAGGAGGGTTATTTTCGTGAGGCCGCGTTAGCCGCAATGGAGTTATGTCGGTCGACAAAAGCGGCCCCGTTGCCCGAGCGGGAGGATGGTGTGCATCAGGCCTTGCAGACCTTGGTGAGTGCGACCTGTCGGCACTACCTCGCGACGTACTTCCGGACGCATCCCATCGACTGCTTCCGACTCCATGGGACGGCGGTGGAGACGCAGGAGCGCATCCAGGGCTTCCTTAGCCAATCAGTTCTGTGCTCGGATTTACTCACCGAGTCTTTTCTCCGTTTAAGCCTTCCCTTACCACGCCCAAAACAGCCTTCAGACGTGTTCAGCCGCGTCATAGTGGGTTGTCTGCGATCACATGCCCACCTGCCGGAAAACCTAGAGGAAGTGGCTGGCCAGGAGGCTGAAGGTGGTACTGGCGGGCTGTTGCCCGCTCCTCCCTCGTGCCTTCCCGGATTCACTGCCCAGCGGGAACCATCGCAGCACTGGCAACTAGCACTGAAAGCCACACTGACGCATGCCAATACGCGTCTAATGCACGCGATCGCGTGCAGCTTCCCTGCTATTAATAAGGACGCAATTTTGGGATATGCGGCATCCATGAGCTCCAAGTATGTATTCGCATGCCTGGCAATTCGAAGCCATGCCCAGTATCGTCTTCTTCCCGATGAGGTGTGCACGGCGGTGGAGGTGATGCTCTTGTTGCAAGAATTTACCGCCGCTGATGACATCGCCAGGAAAGGTCAGGAGGATAAGGATGCTGATGTAGCAAGCCGCACCTACCACCGCGATGCGCACCTGACGGCGCTGTTCGTCCTGCAGAGCATCGCCATCACAAAGCACTGCCTGGATGTGTTACCCCGGGCGATCGCGTGTTTACTTAGCCATGGGAGCGCGTTGGAGCTCGACGCCGAGGCCCACGGCGAGCCTTTGGTGGAGCTGGGCAAGGCCTTGCAGGATGGTGTGGTGGCGGCTCCCAGCGAAGGGGGGGGAGGCCTCGCCGCCGCCGGGGTGCCCCGGCCATGGGCGATCGCGCCGCTTTACGACGATTGCTTCGCGCAGAAGGCGTTGTGGGCGGCGTGGCTGCGCCGGCTGCTCCGCCTTCACCAGGACGTCAAAAACGTCCTCGGCTGGGAGGCATTGCTCACCCACACCCTGCTGTGGGTGTTGCCGCGGCGACAGGAGCTCTTCGCGGACGCCGCAATCCCCTTCAACGACGACAAGGCCGAGGACGAGGGCGACGCGGAGGGGGCCCTGGTTGGCCTCATCACCGACCTCGCGGGGTTGTTGCTTTCGCCGACGCCACTCGACGCCGGCTTTTCGTTCGCCGCGTCGGAGACGTTGGGTGTGGCTCTCCGCGCGTTCGCCAGCCCCGAGGCGGAGGACGGCCTGCCGTGGCCGATCGCGGCGGCGTTGACGTTGACGGCCACGCGCTGCTCCCCTTCGACGGCGCTCGCCGTGGCGCGGGTGCTGCTCGCAACGCCGCTCCTCCCTCACTCGGGGCGGCCGTTGACGGGCGCGGGCCCGCGCGGGATCGCCCAGCTTCGCCTGCTGGATGGCCTTCAGGCGTGGAAGACGCGCCGTTTCGACTGCCGGGCGCCGTGTTGGGGACTGGAGGAGATGGTTTCCTTGATTCAGTTGCTGGGGGTTCTTCTCGCGGGCTTTGAAGAGGGGGTTGAAGATGGGATGACCTTGGAGGTGTTTTCTGTGGATGACTGGACGCGCCTCATCTCGGACGCGGAGCGCTTCCATGTATGGTGTCTGCGCGCGTTGGCCGAGGGAATTTTCCATGAATTCCTCAACGAGCGCCAAAGGCGGCGAAGCCAAGGTGTAAACGGCAAATTGTTAAGCTTTATGGAAAGAGAGGTACTACGCACCACTTTAGAGGAGGTTGACTGGAAGCCAAGAGTTTTATGGTCGCATCTGCAAGACTGAAGCTAACTCGGAAGATAAAGGAAATCGAGGGGAAGAAAAATTAGCATATCTCGAAAGGATGTTTACCCTTCGAGAAAAAAATCATCCAAAACAGCATGGCGTTTGCTGGTCTACCTATAGCTATCTAAGTGAATATACCTATTTAACACATGCGCTTTACTACTCTTAGCCCTGTAGACTACGTCTAAATCCTCATTTCCTCTACCGACCCAACTCCTTCCCAAAAACAGACGCAATTCATTATTATCCCTGTTGCATGGACAACTTAGCTTCCCATCGCGAATCGATTGTGCCTCCCTAAGGAATGAGTCTCATGGGTAAAGCAGATAGGGGAAAGAGACTAAGCAGCTTCCCCATTCCTGGGAGGTGTTTGATACGATAGAGGCAGAAGGGGGACGGTTATATGCTGCGTGAGCTAGTCACTTTACCCCAAGAATAAACTGTGCCTCTTACGGAATAAAAAACAAAGGGGATTATAATTAAAGAGAAAACAAAAGAAAATGAAGCATTTTTTGTGCTGAATACGGAAGATGCTCATAGAACTGACATGTATCAGTCTTATCCCGTAGATTTTCCGCTCCTCCTTTACTTTCCCTGACCCTTCCTGCTTTTAGGATACGCTCATAGGTCTTATCCAATGTCATCGAAGGTTGCAATTGGATTCCTCGTCGTAAACAATTTGAAGGTTCTCTTCGTCATTAGCTTATGATTTGGGGTTTATTGAGACATCATCTTTACTGATGTCGCTGCGTTTTTCTCAAACCTTTCACTTTCTGTGGAAGCAAAACCTTTCGATGTATATTCCCCCTTTTACAGCATCTGCCTTAGTCCGTGGGCGTCCCTTGCAACGATATCATAGTGCCCTCCCTGATGTGTCTTCATCGGTGGGTTTCTCACATCGCTCTCGAGTGAAAAGCTCAAAAATGCTTCCCTCCACCTCTTCGCAGGTGCTGTTTGAGAACCCTTCCGAGGCGTGCGGGCTGCATACGATAACACCCTGCTGCGCCATCGACGTGCAAGGCTTGTACATCGAATTAGGTGCTTCTCAGTGCCCTCACAGGGATCGTGAGAACGCTTTGCGTACACTTGAAGATCTCTATGATGTTGTTAACACCCATCGCGAAGTATTGGCGGGCTCGGAGTCCCTACAGACAGGGATACCCATTTCTAAAACACAACACGCACTTCAAAACACACTGGAATATGTGCGATGTGCTATAGCCCATCTCTCTGGTACAGATGACAAGGGTAGACCTTCCGATGACGTCGTACCACATGGCGAGAGGGAGGTTGCTGCGGTTTTTCGAAACGACGTTCAACAACTTTCTGAGGCATTACGACAGCAGAACTATATTCGCTTCAGTGCAGCGTCAGGAAGCTTAGCAGATGCGAATCGTCATGCGATGGAGAAGTGCCCTCTCATCGCCGCCTGTCTCAGCCCGGGCTTGTTCTCCATTAGTTGCGGGATCCAGGCAGCCGCTGTCGCGCTCGCCTGCGGCTTTCCACACGCTGTCTGGTTTCCCGCACCAGAGGTGTCCTTCTCAGCGCTTTGGTTAATTGCCATGCTGAGGAAGGCTTTGGTGGGTCAGAAGTGGGAAAGCGCGCCGTCGCATGAGCTAGCTGGCGAACTATCACAAGGAGTGGATTCCCTTCGTTTTCACATCATGATCGTATCCGAACCGATTGAGAGCATTTCAACTGCATCGCAGTGCCTGCTTATCGAAACCTCCCCCCCGCGCGCCCCTGCGGCGCTCGTTCCCATCACCTATGGGTACACCCCGGGCTCTGTGGCGGAGCTCAGTGGTCGCCTTCGCGGTGCCGTCGCGGTCCGCCGACCCGCCGAGGAAGGGGTGGGGCGGTCCCCCCCCGACGACCCCCCTCCCCTTACCCTTTCCATCCCCACCCTGCAGCTCTCTACCCCAAACGTCGTCGTCGTGATGCCCACGACGGCGTCAGAGGGGCTCTTCACACACGCCCTGGCGGCGCCGTCGGGACCACGGACAGCTACCCCACTGCGCGCCCCTCTGGCCTTCGCCCCGGCCCCCGCGCTACCTCGCCTCTTTCGAGGGCTCCTCCGCGACGCCCCGCTTCGCGTCGGCCACAGCCTCGACCCCAGCCTCCGTGACGTGGGTGGCCCCCTCAGCTCAGCCGCCCACGTGGCAGTGGTGAAGGCAGTCCTGCAAGAGGCCGTTGGCGGCGGAGGCACCCCTTCTTTCCCGCCCTGGGCGCAGGTCGGCGGGGGGTTCGACCTCCCCCTCACCACAACGCGTGCGGGGGGGTATTACTTCGTGCCGGGGGTCCTCTGCGCCCCGACACGGATTTCCCTCCGGCGGGATCCTTTAGCGGCAGCCACAGACCCCATCAAAGAAGTGCGGGCGCAGGTTAGGGCAGTGTGCCACACCGTCGCCACGCTCATTGATCCGCTGGAGCGACGATTTGGTGGGACCTATGGTGGGGTCTGCTTTATGTGCGCCTACGACACCGAGGTATCGAATAGCATCGTCGAATGTGTCACAACGGTGGCCGAGGAAATGGGCTGGGGCGTTCTGACTATACAGTAAGTGGCATGCGCTATGGGTGTGCGGAACTATCCACATTTTATGCCTGTCACTGCCCTTAACATTGCGCTTGTATTGCTTGGCTCTGGGCTATTAATAAGAAGGGAAAAGAAATTAGAACGAAAATGTCTATGATAAGAAGGCTCACAAAGCATCCTTGTGACTATCGCTAATCCAATAGAGTCCTTATTACCCCTACATGGTCTAATGTTGAGTCGGATGACCTAATTAAATAAATCCCCTCTTGGTATGTCTTTTTTTTCACATCTTCAGCGCGGTAATTTCGGCGCTATCCCAAAATATAGATGAGGAAATCACCCCCATACACCCAGGGTACGCAACCACACCTAAAGGATGGTGGCATTAATATCGTACGGCACTGACTCCATCCATGTCAGCAGTGCTGGCAAAAACAGCCTTTCGGCATATGCAGCCGTGATGGGCGACTGCGTGGTATGCACAAATTTCTATTCTAACACCCCCATCCCTTTCCTCATTCTAACACGCTATGTCTTTTGATGTGGAATTTTCAGGAAATCGAAACGGGGCGAAAATAGAACGCTATAGTTGTGCAAACACTACGTCTTTTTCTAGGAGATTGCATAGAGGCGAATCATTTTTCAAGTGAAGCAACAAAATAAAATCCCTCTATATATTGCTTTTCTGACAAACAAAAGATGTGGATAGGAAGACAATAATGCATGGATGCACATTAACAACACTGCTGATACGCTTTTCTTGTAAACGCTTGTCTCTCAAATATCGGGCATTCTTTGTTGCAGAGTATTATTTTTCCTATTCTTGTAGTCGTTTCCCCATTGTGATTTGTAATGAGGAGAGTAAGGATAATACTATGATGATTATTCTATAATACAAAGTAATACTGGCTAAGTATTCAATCTAAATTCCTTGAACAACATTCGTCTTGGTTAATATACTTAATTTTACCATTGAAAGGAGGTAGAGGATTGGCTTATTGCTTTTACTTTTATTATTTCAATGAAGTAAAATAATTCATTCATTTCCCTTTTTCTACTTCTTTAATATAAAAGGAATTTTCTCTGTTATAGAAAACAACCGCTCTCGAATAGATAAACGCATAAAAAAAGTGCCTTAGATATTCGAGAAGGGGCCTCGATTCTACAATTAATTTGTTTTAACAGATTTTTTTGGCGTGCATAGGCAATAACGAAATTAATAAGTCAACTTTTTGCATGGTATGATTTCAGTATAAAATTCATATATAGCTCTAAAGTGTTACCGCTGTTTTTTCTTTGAAATTTATTTACTATTTCTGGCTTATTGCTCCCTTGCTTCGTCTCCGTTTGAATGGGTGCCCTACCAAGTCGTGAAACTCATCAGAGAGGCCTCTACAGCCACCGTCATGGCCGTAATCGACGTAGCGAGATTATTCTTATCCCGCTAACTTCTACTTTCTTTCCGAGCCCTGACTGCGCTCTCTTTCAACACCTCTACAATGCTCGCAACCGGCGAACCGCGAAGTACTACCTGCGAGCACCGCGCTCCGCCGAAACGTCGATGGAAAGTGACTACTACTGCAATACGGTGCGGGCAAATGATCCCGATGAGTTTGATAAATTTAATCGCGAGCGGCTAGAAGCTGAAAGACTACAAAAAAAGAATCAAAGTCAATCCTCTTATGTACAGACGGGAGGCGTAAATTTCGGACCCCATACACCAAATCTACTAGATGCGATAGGGAGCGATAGTGGGGGCCATTTTGGTTGTTGTATAGGTAGAGGGGAACCGAAGAGGGAGAGCACGGCTCGGGATTATGAGTTTCAGAGCTATTCCGATACCCCGGAGGGTCTTTACCATGTGCTTGTTCGTGAGACGGATCTCTGCGTTGTCGATACGGACCAGGAGCTGCGCGATGCATACGCGGAGCAGGTACAACAACAACGGTTGGAGTTGGATAAGCTCCAAAAAGGAAGTCATCAGAAAACATCCGTGAGCACTTCCCCATGTATGGCGACTAAACCATCGGTTAGCATTCATCAGACTAATACCTCGAAGTATCATTCACAACAATCCCAATCATCACAACCTTTCACACAAGGAAGCTTGAATTCCAAGTACACGAGCCCTTCTGGGGTTTCAATTCCGTCGCAGGAAAAAAATTCGATCCCAGAGCCTCCCACGTCGCCTCCTGCATTCATGCTGAATGTGTCATTATCTGGTATTGAGAACGTTTCATTTGATGCGTTTACGGCTGGCTACGCCGCGGCCAAACGATATATGAAAGGAAAGCGTAAACACACATGCTGTCGTGCAGCCGACGACAACTTTGCCGGCGAAAATGACACTTTTGGGGCTAACGACACCAAGTTGTCGGGTAGCATGCGCCATGACGTGACAGAGAGAACCTCGCCGTTGGATGAGCATGAGGAACCTCGCAAATACGTCAAGCACGTCACTTCACCCTCGGCGTACTACACTCATCCCATTCCGTGTGTGATCGCATCGCGCTACGTCGAAAAGCGGCCTCCCTCCCCGGACGACCCGTTCTGTGTAATGTTCGAAGGGTTTTATGTGAAAATCATGGGCATGTTCGGGCTTTTCCCGGCCACCGTTCCGATGCGCTACCAGACGGTCTCCAGCGATCCCCACGAGGCAGCGGTGGACCCAAGCCTCGGCGGGGGGAACGATCTCCTCTCCAAGTTGTCGTCAGAGCAGCAATCGCGGCGGCGTTACTACCGCGCCGTACCGCGAAAAGAAGGTCACCCGAACTCCGACGACGATATTGATGATGAGGTCGAGATCGGGCAGCACCTCCTCAAGGGCACCATGTTTGTAGACAAAGATGTTGGGGATCAAATCCTGGGCAATATGGTCATGCTTGCGGCGCACATGTACGTTCGACAGTGTATCGAGGCCCGCATCCAGCCCCAGTACATCCCCATGTTGCCCTTTTTCATGCGTTTCCCCCTTTCTAACATCCCTATGCTGCAGTTTGTGCGGGAGTTTCGTCTCCGGCTTCGGACACTACTGGAGGCGGGCACCGCAAAATCGGGCCTCAAACCCATGCACGCCGGGCTGAGCGGCGTCAACGCCGAGGACATCGTCGAGGAGCACAACCCTCAGCAGCTCCGGAGCGAGGCGGAGGGCTACCTCTTAGAGGACGACATTCCTGACGTCGCGTCCCCGAGTGAACTCTTCATGGACGCGCCGCTGTACCAGGAGTTCATGACCGCCCTGAAGCGCCCGACCTCAAACACCAATCCCATGGGCCGCTTTCCCATCATGATGCTCTCCGGCTTCAACGTGCAGCACGCGCCGTTGCGGCATCCGGCGCTGAATGTGGCCAAGCGGCCACGATGGTTGGGGCAAGAGCCGCCGCCTTCCCCCGCGCACGCGCTTTTCCCATCAACAGGACCTGCCAAGAAGGCCCAGCGGGGTAGCCCCTTGCTGCCCTTGCCTATTGCGGATCCCAATGCCCTCAACGCCCACTCACAGACGCCCGCGCTCTCCGCTCCGTCATCTGAGGC